AGAGAGGAGAGGGAAGTGAAGAGAGAGAGGAGGGGAGAGAAGAGAGGGGAGAGGGGAGAGAGAGAAGTTTCTTTATTTCTGGAAGAACACAAATGATTCCCTAAGCTCTAGACCTCAGCTGAATCTGGTCATGAAGGGTGTGGCTGTTGAACAAGTTGAGGAGACTAAATTATTTGGTCTTACCTTAGATTGTAAACTGTCATTTTCAAAACATATAGATTCAGTGGTTGTAAAGATGGGGAGAGGTCTGTCCGTAATAAAGAGATGTTCTGCTTTTTGAAGCCCACACTCCACAAAGCAAGTCATGCAGGCTCTAGTTTTGTCTTATCTTGATTATTGTCGTCATGTGGTCAAGTGCTGCAAAGAAAGACCTAGTTAAGATGCAGTTGGCCCAGAACAGAGCGGCACGTCTGTCATGTGGTCAAGTGCTATGGGTTATTGTCTTGCTTGAAGATCCACTTGTGGCCAATTGTCAGCTTCCTGGCAGAGAACTAATTTTTTCGACAAAGATGTCCGTGTACTATGACTGAAGAGCTCTATTTTTATGTCATCAGACCATAGCACCGGCTATAGTTTGAGAAATGGCACTTGGATTGGAAACGGTGATACTTCCGCCTTAAAGGGATAGTGCAATATTTTGGAAATTCAAACCGTTTGCTACTTTCTACCCCCCCCCCCCCCCAAAAAAAAATAATAATTGTTAAGTGGTTGTCCCACTGGCTATAAGGTGAATGCACCAAATTGTAAGTCGCTCTGGATAAGAGCGTCTGCTAAATAATGTAAATGTACCTACTCAGTCAGATGCGAACATTGTTTTTTTTGCTGTCTCTGCATGCAATTTGAAGGACGTTGAAGGACCTGCTACAGTGAGATTCTGTTGAACTGTCTTGTGTTGATAGAAACAGCAGCACGTAATGACATCACACCTAAAAAAAATAACATTTACCTAGAGTGTTGAATAAACAAACTGTCCGTCTTAAGAACATTTATCCTATAGCTGCCGTTTCCATTACAGATGGCGCTATGTTTTTTTGTTGTGACATTGCTTTAGTGGAATAAACCTGGGTCAATGGAAACCTGCCTACTGATCCATCACCCATCTGTAGAATTATAGCATTAGTAGAATGGAGACGTTGTAGAATTAGAATGACAGACATTCCTGTTCCATTTCAACGTTCCGTGCTGGCTGGACTGGACCGGCAGCCTTACAGGGTGTGATGCTAGGAATGTCTCTTTTATTGATGAATATTAGAAGGCTGGATAATACAAGTTATGTTTTTAACAGCCATAGTGCAAAAGCAAAGTGCAAAGTGCAAATCTTACCATAAACCTATTTTTGTAATGACTTTACACTGTGAGATTATAATGAGGTTTACGGTACTTTTTGCACAAAAGACTGTCAGCTATGACATGGTCATTATTTGAACTGGTTAGCAAGCTAGCTAGTAAGATAGAAGTGAACCCAAAAATGGTTTATAAAGTTGCTTTTAGTTGCCTGGTTTGCTAGATTGACATACTAAATACATTTTAAAACTGATGGGTTTACTGGTGTTAGAATACAGCATTTATGCTATTTCGTAACCACCAGGCTGAAGTCGTGCAGCCGGTCATTTTTTGTGTTTATACTTTTTCATAACAACAACGACAAGTTTGATGTCGGACGACAATAGAATGTTCACGATGTCACTGCAACAACTGTCTACAGACATGTCGATCGACCAACTGTAAACCACCCTTAAGTCACCAATGGTCGAGTCACGAGTCCCTATGGCTGAAGTCCGAGTCCCGGTGCTAAAGTCTGAATCACTGGGTCCCCATTAACTCAAAATAAAGTTATTTATAGTTTAGTGGCAATTAATTCAAATAGTTTGCTATCACTTTTCCTTTCTTTCTGTGCCACCAAATGTTACCATGGCTACGTTCAGTTGGCTACTGGTAATGTTACCATGGCTACGTTCAGTTGACTACTGATAATGTTACCATGGCTACGTTCAGTTGAATACTGATAATGTTACCATGGCTACATTCAGTGGACTACTGGTAATGTTACCATGGCTACGTTCAGTTGACTACTGATAATGTTACCATGGCTACTTCAGTTGCAAAACATTCTCCAGCGTTGCAGATAGAAATTCAACGAATAGATCCGTTATTCCGTATTCAACATGTCAGAAAGGCATGTTTGTACCACATAGCATTTTCTATCTGAAAGTTCCAAAACGTCGCGTCCTGCTGAATGCGCCCCAAGTTGTTAGCTAAAGCTAGCTAATGGAGGTAACATGACTGAACAAGGTGTAGCCTAAACAAAATGGCTGATGGTCCGGTCCGCAAGTAACCTGCGTATTGGAACGGCCCACAATATGCTTTACGAATGTAAAGTTTGTTCCGAGACGACCTTTCGTAACCCGGACATCTTTCATGCAGGGCATTTTCTGGATTACAAACAGGCATCGGAATTATTGTTTCATTTAGTCTTCATTGAGCTCCAACATATCAAGCTTGCTAGGTCGAACAGTGTCCATGTACTCAAATACCCGAGGGGTAACACTTTACCCAGCGTCATAACGTTGTGTGAGACTGTCATAACTGTGTCATAACAGCTGACAACTTGTCATAACCTGTCATGATATGGTTATAACACTGTCATGACACGTTTTACACCTGTTGTGACATACGAGTCAAAACCCACCACACAAGGACAAAACATTCCATTGCACCATAGCCTACTTGTCAACAGTATGTTTGTTGTATAACATTCTGAAATTGACCATGTTAAATTGTAATTGCACACAAATTGATGTCAGACACGTACCTACCCTAATGCTCTGCTGCTGATAACTGGGATGAATGCAGGAGCAGATTTCAGGAGCAGGATGACAGCTTCTTTGACTGATATAAGGGCTTGTACAGGAAAGGTCTGTCTGGCATAGATGATTATGACGGTCATAAGGCCTCTTGACAGTGTAATAAGGTGCATTTTCTTAGTCCAAGTAGTTAAAAAAAGAAGAAACCTGCACACTGCTCTTGATAGTATCACTGCTCTTTAAGCTTTACGTATCGGCCTCAAGGCCTTTGTCAGAGCTTTGAGTGTTCACAACCTGCATCCCATGTAGACGTTGCTCCACCCACATCCGTTCAATGCATCGACTGGGGTTGGAGAGTCGAGGGAAAATAAGCAGCCAAATATAACGTGCATTTCATAACTACCTAGAAAAAGCATCGGAGATGCGCAATAGGTTTCTAAGACACTACTCTCCACAATATGCGGGTGAAGCTCTTGATTTGTAATTGAGGAAAACACGAGATGAACTGCTACGATAAAGACCCAGTGGAGCTGAAGAACACTAAATGTTCACCACCACATATACTTTCATCTCGCGCAAAGTGGGAGATGCTGTCAAGAACCATTGGCCTGTTTTATCGGACCCAGCTCTGCCAGCTGAATTTAACCCACCACTTGTTGAATATAGGAGAGGTCGCAATTTATGCGACAAAACGGTCCATTCCAGCTGTCAGCCACAAAGGAAAACTAGCCAGACTCTTTTACTCCCTCATCTGAACGGTAGTTATAAATGCGGAGGTTGCGCACAGTGCAACAATACGAAGTGGGAATATATACATACAGGAAAACAGTTCCAAATTATTGACATTACCTGCTCCACCACTCATGTTATCTATATGATTAAATGCCCATGTTGGCTGTGCTATGTAGGTAAAACCGCTTGTTTTCAAAGAATTACTGAACATTAAAGTTCAAATCGGGAGTAACGACAGGGGTTATAAATAAGTCATATAGCAGAGGCTTTTATCCAAAGCGACTTAGTCATGTGCGCATACATTTTTTACGTATGGGTGGTCCCGGGGATCGAACCCACTACCCTGGCGTTACAAGCGCCGTGCTCTACCAATTGAGCTACAGAGGACCACGTCCTGTCGCGGGACCATTATCCAGTCGCAGTACATTAATGGCCAAAAACATCAAAACTTTAGATTGTGGCATCGAGAAAGTGGCGACTCGGGAGGTGATATAAATACTGAGAAAAAGAGAATGTTATAGGATTTTCAGCCTCCAGACATTATTCCCGAAAGGTCTTGAAATGCCCAGGCATGTTATGTTGTAAATGTGAACATGAATTCATGCCGCCACTTCAGACTGAAGTTTTTCCCTTGTACAGTACCTAATGATTTATGAAAACGTTATGGATAGGTCCATGGCCGCATTGTGGTTTTTCAGTCCTGTTATGTTCACACTATTAGAATACTTATAAAATGCACATTGTTATATTCGGAACCACTGGTCTTCCTCCCCCTTGAGGCCGATACGTAACGCTTAAGAGCAGTGTGAGGGTTTCTCCCCCCAATGCAACTGTTACCATGTATTTTCTGCAAGTTATTCAAAGTAACATGCCTAAAGAATTCATTAGACAAACAAACTTGAAACGAAAATCTTCTTGGCAGGTTAAACATTTGGGATAAATGTGTTTAGAAATTGAAAACATAAAAATATTGAGCCATTTCACAACTGGTGTAAATTTATGACACATTATGCCAGCTGACCTGGTTATGACAGTGTTGTCTTGGTGGCTCAGTTAGTTGAGCATGGCACTTGCAACACAGGGTTGTGGGTTCGATTCCCACAGGGGACCAGTAAGAATAGGTATTAACTACTGTAAGTCACTCTGGCTAAGAGTCACCACAATTACTAAAATGTAATGATGCTGTGTTTTGTAGTAATAGTGTGAATTTGAGTAATACATTCAAGTCCCAGATCAAAGCCTGTACCTTCAATAAACCTCTCAAAAGATGAGCCAATTATAGCAGTATCATGTTCAATAACTCATGAGACAAAATAGTGTACACATGTTTTATTGGCTGCAAACAAAACACCTCAACATTATGTAGTAACTAAGACTTCATTTAACTGCAACAAATCAAAGTATTTGACGTTACCGTAAAGTGTTAAGGATGCGGACACATATGGAATAGCATTGTTGCTTTTAGTTTATAGATTGACGGAGTGGCAAGAGTCTCAGGGAGCACACAGAGAGCAAGCTCGTTCCACATATTGCATTGTTCCAGCGGCGTTCACCTTAAGAGGAAACACAACAGGAGGAACGTCTGCATGAGTGTCGGAGATGCATTTGGTAAATATACTATGAGTGAAGTTTAATTTCAAGGCTGGATCAGTGAATGACACTGGGCTTACTGTACCTCCAAAGTTCATCTGAATACACATCTCTCTGGCACCAGAGTTATTGGGCCGTCCTTTGGCCCAGTTCTGGTGATCAAAGTCAGAGCCGTCGCTCCAGAACCATAGCCTGTCCTGAAGGGGGGAAAAGGGAGGTTCCAGAATAAATCCAAAATGTATAGCCCTCTCCTCTACCTCCTGAAACAGTCAAAGCTACCGCCAAAATTTTACAACTCAGACTGGAGCTGTTGCTTGTGTAAAGAGAAAAATGGAGCCTACTTCCTGATCACATTTACAATCATCCCAACGCATTTCAATGAGCATCACTTGTCTACAACTGTTGAAGCTAGAAACACCATACAAGAACAGGCAGACTGTCTGGAACAGGTTACTTTGAGACAATTTATACTGAACTATTACCGTTTTACATTAGTATAAAAGCCTTCTACTGAAGTATGACAGTTGGCGACATTTACATTTTAGTCAATTAGCAGATGCTCTCATCTAGAACGATTTACAGGAGCAATTAGGGTTAAGTGCATTGCTCAAGGGCACATAATAGTTTTCCACAGTGCGCTCTGGGATTCAAACCAGCAACCTTGCCTTCATTGGCCCAACGCTCATAACTGCTAGGCTTCCTGTCACCTGGGAACATGTCCCACCTTTGACTTATCAGCATCAAATCCTCCAATCCAGGTAGGAGGGAAACCACCAGTCTTGACCAACGTCTGTAGAAATTGCTCCTCCTCAGAGCTGTGTACAGATGCCAGGTTTGCTCCAAGGTACTCTACAGTTCTGGGCACAGACACCAGTTTTTCACCAAGGGACACACAGTGCCGCTAGAGAATGCAGTAGATGGGGACAAAGCCATTTCATAATGTAAGTGTTAGTCAGCTGGCCAGTCTGAGAATTTGTCTTCTGGACTCTCAAATATTGACAGTCGGAACTAATTCCCTTTTAAACATGATCTTAAAGATATTAGTTGATGTATTAAGCCATGTCCTGTGGGTTCCAATATACAGGAGGCCTGACCTCACACATTAAATAAATATTCCAAACTTCTAGGACATTCCAACTAAACAATATCTTAAAGGGAAGTTCAGTATTTTACATGAGGCATGTGTTACCGGATTTAAAAACATAAAATCACCTTTAATGTAATGTCAAAGGGTTGATTTCAATTCAACTTCCCCTTTAAATTAACAGTAGATGTAAGCATGATACCTCTGCTTCAGGCCAGGTCCTTGCAGTCTTAACAAACATGAAGCAGCGTGATCCATATTTGGTCCAACCGCGGGGACACAAGTCTTCTTCTACAAATGAATCTGAAAGGAGAAGTTGCAGCTGGCTTTAAAGACTAGTCGAGACGGATCTACATATCACAACTACAATATTATTAGTATATCAGTCAGTCACCTCTGCTACAACAAAACAAATACAGAATGAATCATGTAAAGTGGACTCTTACTTGCGTCTCCCAGAGCAAAGGCAGCACTGAGAAGCAGAAGAACGGTCAACATGGCCATGGTGAGTCTCCTGAGAGAGAAGCCATGAAGACAAATTCAGTGAGTCCTTCAGAGTGCAGTGTTCCCCTAACCTCACCAAGTACCCCAGCCATTCCACTTATCAGATGTATTCCAGTACTACCTAATCAGAGCAGATTCAACTAATGAAGGGCCAAGGAATACCAGGTATCTTAGTCCCCATACAGTAGATCACCACAGGAATATGTCTGCTTTCCAAAATGGCACCCTATTCCCTATGCAGTGAGGATAATTTCTGGGGGGTTGGGGGGGTATTTCTCTCCACTCATACAGAAGTAATAAAGGCCTAGTTCACAAATTGAGGAATTCCCTGCAGCTATGTTATTGTCACTACGACGCATCTGTCAGAATGCAGGAACTATGGTTGAAGACAAACTTCAATTCTTGTTCTTTTATTATCCAACTGACAAAAGACAGGAGGGGCACGTAAGGCCGAAAGCATGTCCCACCTCTGAAGCTACATCCATAATCCGCTAGACGGTTCTGATAAGTCACCATTTGCAGTGATCAATAAATAATTTAATGTCATTTAGACACTACCTCTCCAAATATGGCTGCCAATGTTTTATTCTGACCTTGAGTGTTTCCTCTACTTCCACTCTGGGCCAGAATGGTACCGAGGTTGATTAGCTAGTCAGACAGGTGAAACAAAGAGCACAACATGGAATCCATGGGGGGGGGGATTTCATAGTACCTTCTTCCCTGCTGCGCGGTGCCAATGGCGACCAATCAGAACAGTCTAACGGATTATGGATGTAAAACATTCTGCTAGCCGGTACCATCATTGGACCATGCCTCATCTCATAAGCTGTCTCAAATTTCTTACACTTAAATTAATCAAAAATGTCTAAATACTGGGCTAGTTACACCATATAATACACAAGCTAGGATAAACAGGATATTATGCTGCACTGCAGGAAATGTTCTAAGACAGTGTAGACATCAACCTAAACATGTACAAAAGTTACAATTACTGCTACACAATAGAAGGCACTTACTTTAGCCAGGACACACAACAACAGGACCAATAAAGAAACTGGGCCACTACAAATGCTGAACAAACACAGATAAAACAAGCTGCTTATATACCAGAAGAATGGGAGAGGAATTGGTGATTGGCAGAGTGAGTTCAGGTGTGGTGAGTTAGCAGGAGAGGGGCGTGTCCAGAGGGTAATTGGGAGTTTGTGGAATTGGCACGATCCTTCAAAACAAGTGCACTTCATTTGTCCAGGGCCACATATTCACTATGGGCTCTGGTCAAAAGTAGCGCACTACATAGGGAATAGAGTGATATTTGGGATGCAGACACATACAGTATTAGATGAACAGATGTTGAAATCTCACTTTCTGAAATCCTGCCTGTGAGTTGAGTTCTACCTCTCCCTCCTCTCCTTTTTAAGGACCCGTCCAGTCAGACCCCTCCCTCTGGAACCCCGAAGGGTTGGAGGTCAGAAATGGCGGCGAGTAGTGAGGACAAAATGGAGGAAGTGGATAAAATGTTGGTGAAGCAACAGCTGTGATGGAATGAGAACAATATGGCTGTCAGTTCTGATGGTATGGAGCGCGAGGATGAGGGTCAAGGACCTGAATGGTCGGTGGTGGAAAGACAAAGGAAGAAGAGAGATCATGATACAGAAAGACACAGGAAGAAGAGAGATCATGATACAGAAAGACACAGGAAGAAGAGAGATCATGATACAGAAAGACACAGGAAGGAGAGAGATCATGATACAGAAAGCAGTGGAGCGTCTAGTATAGAAAGCACAAAGACGGTCAAGGTAGGAAGTGTAGTGTCTAAAAAATTTATGAATTTGCTGACGTTTGCAAATGGTGTTAGAGGAAGTTGACTCAGCTTGTGGAAGCATCTGGAGAGCATTTCTATAGGGCACCCTAAAACAGAGGAAGTCTGTTATGTGGCGTCCTGGGGTTGGCCTGTAGGGAAAACGACCCATATCAGGTTACATAGGATATATATACTATGGTTTGGGACAAAGGAGGAGAGAACAACATATCAGAGATTTGGACGGTTGTTCTCCAGATGTCTGCAGAAGTCTGTAAATTGGCGCTGAAATCTTCAATGTAATAAATAATTATAATCGAGGACAGTGTCAGCGGATTCCTTGTTATCACAGCATCTCAGCATTGTTCTTGGCACTACAGAAGCAAGAGTAGTGAAGTGTTGGAGTGGAAAGTGGTGATGGTGTTGGATGAGACCACAGAGCCTCACTTACACCCTATCTGACCCACTAATGCCGTAGAGAAAGCGGTAGGTGAAGTGAAATTAGCTGGGTTCATTGGAAATGGTAAATTGTTAATATTGTGTGGTAGCCAGGCTCCTGGCAGAAAAGGGAATTCCCAGTGGTTCCAGGGTAATATTCCAACCCGACCAGGCTGGTCTTTCCTCCTCCACCCAGACCCCTCTCGCATGGCCCAAGGACCCGGCCCTGGCGGCTATCCAGCCGTCTGTAATACGTCGGATCCCAGGCTACAGCGTATCCTTTCGTAGCAGAGTTTGTGGTAGCGTTCAGCGTTTGCCTCAATGTTTTGCTCCAATCTCGTCCCGGGAGAAGAGGGCTGATAAATTAGCCGTCATTCCGCTTTGATATTAACGTTATCATTCATTTCAGTTTTCAGATCTGGTTGGATTTATCGTAAATGCTAATTTTGCAGGTAGTCTCTCGAGGCTATTCACAGGGTACACATATGGGCTTTCTGTACATCCAGGTTTCATATTCACTATCATAAATGGAATGTTTAGCGGCTGAAATAATTTCGATTGACTATTACTCAGAACTTCCATATTAATTCTCAGATAAGTTTCATGTTGTGCTTCCCATCAGCGTCTCGTCAACAACTAAACAGAATTTCAGGAATTTTTAAAATAAAAGTCCCCCACTAATAGTTGGAAAGTGTCAATGACCTGTACTTATTCATGATATATAAAATAATTGTCTCAACATGAACAGTTATTCATATTTGTTAATGTTTAAGTGCTTCCCCACTCTCATCAGTAGAACTACTTCCTGTTCAAGCTACAGTAAATTCCATTACAATTAATTAGTGCACCCTCTGAATGTCGCTCTCTGATGATGTCCTTCCGGAGATTCCAGCAGCTGAGAGTAGTGGAAAGCCTGGTCGAGAAATGATGTCCTTACTTTTCCACTAGTTGTCCCCAGTCAGTTCTGTGGTCATGGTTAGAAGGGATCCAGTTTTTCGACAGATTTAACTTTTGGTAGCAGGTTATGAGAATTAACGTGGACCAACTCTGGGAAGAGAGTAGGGGAGAGCTTTTGGTGAGCAAAGAAGGCTAGCTAGAGGGGGAAAATGGAGTCCCTTGAGAAGTCAAATTGCAGATGGATGTTAGGAGAAATGCAGTATTATCATAAGGAGACGTATACTTGGATGACGGAGGAGGAATGGCGGGGTAAAAGCGAGGCAGAGGAGGTCTAGGAGAGAGAGGGAGGAAGAGGGGGAGTTTGAGTCTGTTAAAAATGGTGGGAAAAAGGGAGAAGGTTTGTTAAAGAAGAATGGTAGAAAATGTAAGCAGAGTGAGCTAAAGACAGGAGGAGAAATGGAAGAGAATGAGGGGGAAGTATCGGAGGTGGTAGGTGTGGTGAAGTATCGGAGGTGGTAGGTGTGGTGAAGTAACAGGGGTGGTAGGTGTGGTGAAGTATCGGAGGTGGTAGGTGTGGTGAAGTATCAGAGGTGGTAGGTGTGGTGAAGTATCGGAGGTGGAAGGTGTGGTGAAGTATCGGAGGTGGTAGGTGTGGTGAAGTATCGGGGGTGGTAGGTGTGGTGAAGTGTCAGAGGTGGTAGGTGTGGTGAAGTATCGGAGGTGGTAGGTGTGGTGAAGTATCGGAGGTGGTAGGTGTGGTGAAGTATCAGAGGTGGTAGGTGTGGTGAAGTATCGGGGGTGGAATGTGTGGTGAAGTATCGGTGGTGGTAGTTGTGGTGAAGTATCGGGGGTGGTAGTTGTGGTGAATTATCGGAGGTGGTAGGTGTGGTGAAGTAATAGGAGCCCAAGGCTTGCACAGAGGGTCAGGATAAAGATGAGTCTATGACAGTAGGTGTGAAGTTTCTGGAAATAGTGGATCCTTGCCTTTTGAGGTTTCAAGAGGGGTCATATTAGTGTATTTTGATGGTGGGGTCATATTAGTGGCTGTCACGCCCTGACTCAGGGGACTCTTATATGTTGAGTCAGGGTGTGAATATTCTGTTGTGTTTCTGTGTTTGGCCGGGTGTGGTTCCCAATCAGAGGCAGCTGTCGCTCGTTGTCTCTGATTGGGGATCATACTTAGGCAGCCTATTGGCACTCGTTAGTTGTGGGATCTTGTTCCGTGTTTAGGCTAGTCGTGTGTTCAGCCTTTGGACTTCACGTTTCGTTTCGTTTTGTTGTTCTGTCGTGTGTTTATCGGTAATAAACATGTATGCATATCACGCTGCGCCTTGGTCTGACCCGTCCTTGAACGAACGTGACTTTTGATGGTGGGGTCATATTAGTGACTTTTGATGGTGGGGATCATATATTGATGGTGGGTCATTAGTGGCCGTTTTGATGGTTGGGGTCATATTAGTGGCGTTTGATGGTGGGGTCATATTAGTGGCGTTTGATGGTGGGGTCATATTAGTGGCGTTTGATGGTGGGGTCATATTAGTGTTTTTTGATGGTGGGGTCATATTAGTGGCGTTTGATGGTGGGGTCATATTAGTGGCGTTTGATGGTGGGGTCATATGTGTGTAGACCAAACCTTTCTGACACTACAGACAGAAGTTGGTATATCGGGGGTACCCGTGATGCTTGTGGGGGTCGTAGAGCAAAACGGAGAACAACATTATGTTCGTGAGTCTCATTTTTCCATAAAGGGGTGATATTAGTTTGTTGGATCAAACCAGTGACACTACAGACTTTTCCGTGAGAAGACCCATTTTCGGGTCTGACAAACATCGTTGTAGCTCCTTTCACTGCAGATGCGGGAGGCAGACATCGGAGGA